GTAGTTCCCGCGAGAATATCAGAAACTGTCAGTACGAGTTGGTTCTTCATCCAGCCTCGTCAATTTTATTGAACACGTTCATATCTTATTAAACAGCTTCTTTCTTTCTCTCTCTCTCTCTCTCTCTCTCTCTCTCTCTCTCTCTTTCTCTCTTGAGCTTCTTCAAAATTCCAAGAGATTTCTTAACTAGCTCAATATGTGTTTTTGTTGTTTTCGAAGAACATTTAAGATAATCTTAATTTCATTACGTTCTGAATTGCCAAACTATTGCGTTAAAATCAACATAAATAAAATAATGAAATTGTGAAAATCCACGAATTGAATTGCGAATCAGGCGTGAATCGAGAGAGGCGCGAGAGGAGAGAGTTGGTTGCCAATTGCGCGAGAAGGATGGAAAACGCCGGGCAAACAAAAGCAGGAAGAATAAATAATGAGTCTCGTTACCGTGAGTTTTCCAGCTGACTCTTCATCACGAAAATTGGCCTCGCTGTCACGGAGGTGCAATTACACCTGCAGCTCGCGCGTCACCTCATGTCTCTCCCCCGAAACCGCTCTGAATTCTGAAATTACAAGCTGCCACGCTTCGAAAGACAATCGGCGGGAACAAAGGGGATTTGTTTCGGGGGATTTCAGATACTTACACGGGGATCTGCTGGACAAAGAGGCGACGACATCTTTTTTTCCCCGCGTAATGAGGGAGAAATGAAGTAGCTAGACAGTATGTAGATACTAGTCTGAGCAAACTGGTAGGAAATTTTTACGAGCATATTGGTCAAATTTGAAAAAATCTAAAATATATATATATATATTTAAATATATTTATATAGATTTAAATAAATATATATATATTTTTTAGATTTTTTTCAAATTTGACCAATATGCTTGTAAAAATATATATATATACAGTAAGATATTTAAAATAGGTATAATAATTACTGACGAAAGCAGCTTTTTGTGTATTTTATATAAAACATTTTATTACTGTCGTAATGAGATACGACTGTCATATTTGAACATCAATCAAATTTGAAAAAAGTCTAAAAACATGTACAGGGATTATAAAATATTTAATAAAAGTTTTTTTTTAATACAAGTAACATCATATGTTACGTGTGTTACATTCTCACTCTAATGTTAATAAAATTTCAAAGCATTTTGTTTACAACGCACATAGCACACTTGTGCATAATATTTCTTCCATGGTAAATATCCGAATGTTTTTATGAACCATTGCAAAGTATAAATTTTAAATCATTTGAAAATTGAATTCGTAATTTCACACGGATCATTTGAAATTGTTTCTGATAAATATTATTAGAGAGCTTCGTTCGTCTCGAACATCTTGAGAGACAAGAACGATTCGAATAGTAAGCATAACTGTCCCCCCACTACCTGTTCCAATAATAAGAGCGACCATTCGAACAACAGAGGTCGATCTGTTACGAGTTCGCGCATAACGACGCATTAACTAGTTCCTACAGGCGAGGTGCGTACAAACGTGGGACTCTGCAAATTGATATTTCTCTGCAAGCAAAAGCAAAGTATGAAATGGCAAAAGCAATGATTTAGAGTATCGTATACATGCATATTGGCTTAACAGGTGATTAATAGGGCGATTATGAATAATGACAAACAGAAATCGAGCATTGTTATTAATACCTAAACCTAAACCATGCTTTATTCATAGTACCTGATCGATCTAATAAATTAATCAATATTTATCAGACTGCGCGGCTATTTCAATCATTATTCATAATGACAGGATATTATAAATAATGACTTAGTCACTTGCGCCTTCATATATACCTATGTGCTTAATAGAAATTGAACAACGTACACGCGTATTCTTTTTTCATCTATGATTTCCATTTTATTGAAACAGTCATGTAGATTCTTATTTTTATATGTTTATGAACGGTTTTAGATTTAGAAATTAGAGTTATTATATGAAATTGAAGTTTCTTTCATCTGTTATTTGTTGTAATAAATTTTTGGGTACGTTATATAGTTTTGCATGTTACATTCTGTGGATTTTTCCATCCTTTATATCTAAATACTAAATATTCTACTAAATATTCTACTTTTAACATTGGAATTATTATTTTTTAATTTATAAATACTCTTTTTATATTATATATAAATATTATAAATATATTATAGAAATATTATATATAAATTATCATTATTTAATTTATAAATATTCTACTTTTAACATTGGAATTATTATTTTTTAATTAATAAATATTTTTTTATATTACATATAAATATTATAAATGTATTTATAGAAATATTATATATAAATTATTATTTTTTTAATTTATAAATATTCTACTTTTAACATTGGAATTATTTTTTAATTTATAAATATTCTTTTTATATTATATATAAATATTATAAATATATTTATAGAAATATTATATATAAATTATTATTTTTTAATTTATAAATATTCTACTTTTAACATTGGAATTATTTTTTAATTTATAAATATTCTTTTTATATTATATATAAATATTATAAATATATTTATAGAAATATTATATATAAATTATTATTTTTTAATTTATAAATATTCTACTTTTAACATTGGAATTATTTTTTAATTTATAAATATTCTTTTTATATTATATATAAATATTATAAATGTATTTATAGAAATATTATATATAAATTATTATTTTTTTAATTTATAAATATTCTACTTTTAACATTGGAATTATTATTTTTTAATTTATAAATGTTTAAAAATTCGCTATTCAGACAAAAATGATGTAAAGAGAATAATTATATTCAAACTATTACGGCCGCCGGTAGAAGGAAAGTACTATGGCCATATTTAATGTCAGACAGCCTAAGAAAGTCAGCTGTGTGAACAATGCAACTCACGCCTAACCACTATGAATCCACATCAAACGAAATGACTGTAACCCGTGGTCGTTCGGTCCTCTCGCGGTATCCCTCTGTTCTCGTTTATATGAACTGCCGAACGACACCGTAAAATCCTGTCACGTGTTCCAGTTGCATTTCACAGTGAAACAGATGTCCGATAATTTTTCCCAAGTGTTTGTCGGGGCGATAAAAATTGTTTATAAGACGCACGAACGTGACTGGCGTAAACTGTAATTGAAAGAATCCAAGGGAACAAGCTCTCGAAATAATATTCTTAACTCGTCAGTGTCTTTAATTGTTGTAAAACGAATCGATGTTTCTCACGATTAACTAAAAAACGAAAATTGAATTTTGAGAGTGAAAATCTCAATTTCTTGTGTATGATCATTTGTGCGAGCAATTTTATAAAAATATCACTTTCCATTTTTAATTGTAATAAATTGAAGATTTGAAATACGGAAAATTTCGAGTATTACGTATTCTTTTATAAGGTAACTATTGTCTTAAAATATTCTGATCAGGCATTTTAAAAATTACTTGATGATTTAATAAGATAAAAATTGTAGTATTATTCCAGGATAGTAGCAGCAAAGAAATTTAATTTTAATTTTAATTTTGAGGTAGTATAAAACTACGAACACTCGCGAAGTATGTTCTTTAACTTTATGAAGTTTTACTTTTAACTTTAACAAACAGAATCTATCTTAAAACTAAAATTTTCGAAATTACCTACGTCGGAAAACGAAACTTCTCATAACTATCTATTCTCAAGAGCCACTTTCAATCTTCATTTCAACTTCTAAAACCTGGCTTTTCCGAACTATATTTCTTCCGTGTTCCTTACCCAGAAATATTCCGTCGTGCACAAATCCACTTCAACAAAACTATGATGACCACAGCTAAACATTCAACTTAGCTCAACTATTTCAAATCCAGCCAACACTCGAAGTGCTCTTAACACACAAAATCCACAAAATTCACAAAATCTTCAACTTTCAATTAGTATCGTCGGATCGTTGGTGATTTATCACTGTTTGAATTTCCAGTTTTAATTGCAAGATACTCCATCTTGATCACTATTCTGCATTTAAAAATGGCGATGAAGGAATTCATATTCTGCATTCAGTTCAACTTGCTGACAATTATTGACAAGTTAGGCTCTTGATTATTGAATATACTCTACGTTTCGTTGATTCAAATCAAGTTACATTCGAATAACGCAATTATTAATTTGCAATCCTACACCTACATTGTATCATCAATGAGTTAGGTCGCTTCACTTTATCATTTATCCCACAGCTAAACATCAGGCTTAGTTAATTCGAATTAGACAATATTTAAATAACATGTATCCAACCAATATCAATATCTACATACGTTTTCAGTATATAATAAATCCTGCAACATAATCGAACACGAATTAATAATTACCAATCCGAATCCACACGAAATCGAAGGATCTAAATATCGAGTAAAAAATGAAAATAAAAACGAATCGACCGACTGATCCAGTCCCCGACTCTCGGTAATCACCTACGATTCAACGATACCAATTGAAGATCAATCAAACATCGCGAACCTTCGAAATTAACATTCACGAGCCTGTCGTCGGTCCTTTCCTTCGTTTGTCCGAGGAGCGAGTATCGGATCGATCAAACGGGAATTTCTCGCGACACGGGATACGCGCGGAGACGAGGTAACGCCATCGTAGTTTCTCGATGGCGAAACGTAAATCAGTCAGCCGCAGGAGACCCGGTCCCCGGCAGCGGAATTGAAGTAAAAATTCCACGAGCACGAGACACGTGATTATTTAAGCCGTCATGCATGATGAATGAACTCGTCCAACGAGAAGAAGAGCAGGAAATTTTGGATTCGGAACACGCTGGACCGCCGACGCTGTCCGTTCGCCATTCTTCTTCAGGACGTCGAGGGATTTCGCTCTTCCTTCTGTTTCTCTCTCTCTCTCTCTCTCTCTCTCTTTCTCTTTCTCTTTTCTTTCTCCTTTTCTTCTTCTTTTTTTTTCTTCTTTTTTTTTTTCTTTATTTTATGTCTTTTGGAAGTGATGGCCAAGAGTGGAAGGTATTAAGAGACGTATGTCTCCTCTGTTTCAGGTTCTGCCACCTTGGAAGGCGGCCAAGTCCGGTAGTATATCCTTCAAAATCCGTACCAACGAACCGAACGGATTGATTATGTATAGTCGTAGCGGGGCTCACACAAGGGTACGTTGATTTTCGTCCTTTTTCTTCTTCCCCTTTTTCGAAGAGAGATCATTGTTAATACTGGAATTATCAGAACGACAAAGAGATCATTTTTCCTAAAATTATCGAACTTTCCTAAATTTACGACGATTTCTTCTTATTATATTACATGATATATTATTTTATTGTATTAGATTATAATAGATTATAATTATAATTTTATATATTAGATTATAATAGATTATAATTATAATTTTATTATATTAGATTATAATAGATTATAATTATAATTTTATTATATTAGATTATAATAAATTATAATTATAATTTTATTATATTAGATATATTTTATTTTATTAGATTATAATAGATCATAATTATAATTTTATTATATTAGATTATAATAAATTATAATTATAATTTTATTATATCAGATATATTTTATTTTATTAGATTATAACAGATCATAATTATAATTTTACTATATTAGTTTTACCAAACTTTCTCCTATTCCTTGTACTTCAATTTCTTTAGTTCCTTTGGCACTTTGTTCATTTAGTAGTTCCAATATTAAATAATTAATACGGACACTTTCACGCGAAGATTAACATAAAGATTAATTTGTGACATATTATACAGTAAAAATATTATGCAGTAAAAATGGGAGCGTTTTTTTTTTTTTTTTATTTTATAGTGTTATGTACGCATGTGTTATTTACGTTCGATGATATTCATTTTATTTCAATGACTCTGAAATACTTATGGAAAAATGAAATTTAACCCTCGGATTTTATAATGTGAACTTCATACGATGTTCACTTTTAATTCCATTGCGATATCTTGTATTAAAAAAATAGGCCAATTAAATTTATGTTAGTCGAACAAATATGCAACAAATCTTGCCACGTAATTTAGTAAAACTTCATCCATAATTAGGCTGTCAAATGATCACAGTTAATAAATCAATGACAAGCTCATTTATTCTGAAATTATCATTACAAATAATCTGTACAGCTTAAGCAAGCCTCACATAAAAATTCTCGTAATGAACGAATCGTCACGCAAACGCTAAAACACGAGGATTCACAAACGCTACTTTTGATCGTAATTCGTGCAACTTCATTTGCATTTAAAAGTAATTAAAAAGGACGGTGAAGGGGGGAGGGGGGGGGGTTAGAGAAAGAAAGAAAATCCGTGGTGATGTCATGAAATACAGGCCATACAGTTATGTTCGCAGAGGGGCTATCAACAATATCCGCGACGAATGGGCGGCGAGCGTGCAACGAATATTAAGCAGCCAGCCAGTAATGAACAACTTCATTAACCAGGCCCTTGGAAATTCCGTGGTTTATCGAGGCTTTTTCATTTTTCCAAATATTTCAACCCAGACCAGAATTGTGAATTCGCGGCCGCGAATTACGGACAAATTGAATTACCAGTTATGATCGAAATGCATTTTTCTTTTCTCCGTTTTTTCGCGTGATGATAAAATCGTACTTACTTGTTTCGAAAACTAAAGCCTTGGAAATTGTTAGGGACAATCGATACGATTTGTCGAACGTGAAAAAACTTGTCGACGTTGGTGAAAAAGAATTTGTAATAAATTGTAATTCATATGTTACGTTAGACTGATGTAAGTCAAATGTCGTTCAATCCTTTTTTCATTTATTTACTTGTTGTTTAACGTTCGTTGTGTCACTAGATATTAATGATACAAATAAAATAGCATAACTGAATCTATAACGATTAAAAGAAACGTCGATATTTCGAACTTTTGTAATTTTGTAAAAATTCGACGAGATCCAGCTGCTTTCATTTTAAAGCGTGAAACTTCTCTACTTTAAAAATTCAGAGTTCAATTTTTTGGTGAGAGAGTGAGGATACTTTTATTTTGGAAAATTGTAAAAATTTTATCGTCTCTAAAAACATTGAAAAATTTTTTTTTAATACTAAATCCACCATGGTAAACTTCAATCTTTGAGATCACAGTGGATTCAGTCGTGAAAAGAAATTTTTTAACATTTTTGGAGTTGTTCGAAAAATTTTGTTTGTACAATTTTCGAAGGATATGTATTTCGAAATTATTAATATTGTTTTTATTACTGCATTCAACGTGATTTAAAATAATGGAAAAATCTATTTTCAGCTTTCGACGATTGTTGTTAAATAGTTTGAAAATTGATTCCGCGATACGATTACAGGCAACGTAACGTAAAATAATTAATAAAATCGGTAATACAAAATAGAAGGTTAGAGTCTCGATCGATGTTTCGCGAGTCTGAAGAGTTAGAGACGATCCTTTTGCCCGACGATTTCGTCCAGTTTAATTAAGAATTCGATAATTCGATGTGAAATCGGTCGAACGTGGTTCGTTCTGTTAACAAGGTTCTATCAGCCATTTTAATTGCATTCTTCTCGATTGGTTTTAGATTCGTTTTAGGCTTTTCGCAATTAATATGTATTAATAATTGAATGAATGTCTGATCGAGAGAGCCGGGGAAAGTGAATATCTCCCGACTAAGTGCACAGAGCTACAATTTAATAAAGAAATTTCATTTGAAACTATTCTCTCTGAAAAATCTTGCGGAAATTTGATTTAAAAATTGATTGTGTAATATAAATGTAAATATTTCATTACACTCTTCGAGCGTTTAATCCATATTAGAATAAAATTGTACGAATAATCTATATATAAATAATTATAAATAAATATATATATTATAAATAAAATATGTAAATATATATATATTATGAATAAAATATATAAATAATTAATATAATAATAAACATATATAAATAATAAAATATATAATAAAAAATATATAAATAATAAAATATATAATAATTAATAAAATAACTGGTTTACTTACTAGAGAGGATAAAATATATTTATTCTTTGATTTTTGGTAATTATAACCAGTCGACAACTAATTGTTGGAATACTTTCGTGAGCAACTATACATTGTCTGTTGTTCACTAAAAAAATTAAAATACGCCGAACAACGACACATCGTTATCAACTACATTAATTCATTCCCCCTTTATTTCCGAATGTGTTCCCTTTTGAATTTTGTGGTTACAGAATTTGTTTACAGAATTTTTATACTTTCTTTTCCTCAACCTTGCATCAGCTTGGCTTTACGACATTTCTCATTTTTTTTTTTTTTTTCTGTCCAACTCCAAATCAAACATTGTGGCATTCACTCCGGTATAAGTGCACAGTCGTTCGATAACCGGGATATCCGGGGCAGAAACCGGGGTGACTACGCGAGGGAAATGCATTTTCGCCGACACTCGAGTCTCGGGTTTCGCTCGCTGCCGACAGTTATCTCGATTTAACAATACCGGCCCCCGTAATTCCCACAATTATATTTCAACGTTGAAACAGGGGCAAGAGGGTGGAGTGGCATTAGCATCGCGAATAATCACGGTTGCGTGGCGCGGAACGGCGTGAAATAAATCGGAAAGTTGCGAAAACCGGGTTTCTCGTTAAGGCCGTGCGAGTGCCGTGCGGCTTGCTCATTAGCAGAATCACCGGATCCCGCGAACAAATGCCTCCTCCCTCCTCGACTGGCGTTTGTGCCGGTAACGCAGATTCCTGTTTGTAAATACATATGTTAATACATGGCTATTAGTCGCGAAATAAATGCCATTGGTCTGGTGGTGCATCGCTTGTGCTGCCGCGTTCCGCCAAGCGAACCATTATCTATGTGCAAGCTTTTTTTTCCGAATCGTTGTTAATATACAGAGTGTTCCGGATTATTAATCGTCAGACGTTTGCCAACGTGTGTGAGGGACCATTTTGAGCAAATAACGTTGAGCATCATGGATCGATTCGTCTTCGTATTTTCAAGATACAAGGCGAAAAGCAGCGTAAGCCACAAGTAATCACGGACTACTTAACTTTTAATTAACTTTAACTTATTTGTTTCGAGCTACTTTTTATATTGATTCATATCGGTTTACACGAACTGTTCAGAGTGATCGCTATTTCTCTATAAATAACATGCGCAAATAATATTATTAATTTTATTAACATTAATATTATTGATTTTAATATCATTAGTTTTATTAATTTTATTAACATTAATATTATTGATTTTATAATAGTATTATTATTAATATATTATTAATATATTATATTATTAAATATTAGCAAGTTACTGGTGATAACAGCAGTCACCCTTGATTTCTGTTGTCAATTCATTACTGTGTATTAAATTTTCCACCAATCGAAGTTTGACGATTGAGAACCGAAACACTCTATATAATCGCACGACGTGTGATTGAAGTAAAATAACTGGACCATGGATTTTCATGCAAGGACATTGAGAATAAATTGTGTGATATGATCCGTGTGAAATATAGAAAGTAAAATGGTTACTTGTTATCATTTTTAAATAGTCAAAGCGTATCTGTATTTAAAGACCGTCGCTTTACTTTTACAGCAAGATCTTTTCGCGTTCGAGATCTTCAGCGGCCATCTGTATCTGCACGCTGACCTCGGAAGCGGACCTGTGAAGGTGAAATCGTCGAAACAACGAGTCGACAATGGCATGTGGCACGACGTGGTATTTCGTCGGGTCGAAAGAGACGGACGTGTCACCGTCGACGATTCGAGCGTTGAATTTCGCATGCCAGGTAGGAAACAAAACCTTCGCTTTATTGTACAAGTATGATTGAATTAAAAAAAAGAAAAAAAAAACACCAAATTTTCGAGAGATCATTGCGACTAGAAGTGTTTGGTTTCCGTAAAATCGAATTTCAGTAGTTGATATAAATTTAATTTACCTGCGCGTGCAGGTTTATTTAAAATGTGCGAATGCTATTTGTGATCAAAAAATCGCGACGATCTTCTAAATACTCTATTTATTTTAATAATATCCTTATTAATAATTGCTTCTGCTGAAAGTTCGAGCAAGATACGAATAAATTCTCCCAACTTTTGACAAAAATAAATCCACCCATCAAAAATAAGTCCATCTTGTAGTTAAAATGATCGGAAATACTCTTACAAAGTCTCGAAATATTTTAATGAAATTTAAAACTTCGCAGCCAGGAGAAAAATATTTCGATCTCTTCTCGCGTCCTCTTTTCTTTCATTTAATCTCGCGAGGGTGTGTGTGGTGTTTATTGTTTAATCTACACACGGATGAAATTCTGAATCCGGTCGCTCGATGACATAAACGACGATGGTGGGTAAAAACGCGCGGGGTCGGGAAGCAAGCCACTCATAATTCAGAGTTACACGCTTGAGGACACTTATCTGCAGGTGCAGCTAACCGCTCCATGCGTGGGACGTGATAAATCTTCCCCTCTTGCTTTTTCTACAATCCTCTGCTTTTATTACCGCTCAGCCACTTCGTTGGATCTGTCTTTTTAGGAAATCGTTCACAGTCCTTTGTTTGCTTGGTGTAACACTCGCGGCGATCGCGATTAATCGAGTGAAATTTAGAGCTTTGCTTGTCAGTTAAATGACACTGAACCATGAAAGAGAAAGATATATGATGATTTTTAGTATTTAACGATTATTATAAATAATGTAACAATATTCATAAATAATATAATACTATAAATGATTATAAATGTTTCATAATCGAGTTATCGATTTATTAGTTTCACCTACGTGAAATTAATTTAAAATATTACATTGCCATATTTTAAAGTAACCAAGAAATGATAGTTAAAGAGTAACAGTGAATACGTTCAAACAGAGAATAATCTGTTCGTCACATGTTCCTATTTTAAAATTAAAAAAATCTCTTAAAAAGTGCCATATATGATGAATAAAACTGGAAATAGGACGAGTAACAATCACGACGAACGAATTCTCATTTAATCCAGCTCTTTGTCATCGACCTCGCCGACGAAAATTAGAAACGACGCCGCGTCGAGACGAAGTCACTCGGAAGACAATCGGCAAACTCCTCCCGTAGATTTAATCGCGAGTTTATTCATAACTCTCGAAACTCCGATGCCGGGTAATAAGAGGAAGGAGAAAAAAAGTCAAACAAGCGGAAAAGTATAGTGATATAGCTTCCGGTGTAGAGGCGAAGCTTTATTAAACCGATAAATAAACAGAAAAGTAGAGAGTTCTAGGCAGTGGTAGATCCTTCATCGACCTCTCTGACGCCCAGTACAAATAACGGAACTCGGTCTCGCCGCAGAAATCACGTTCTCCCCCTCCTCTTCCCCGCCCCCAACTGTATACTTCCGTCTTGGTCTAACTCTTGCAGCATCCTCCCCACGAATTCCGGTTTCCCTCCATACGATTTTTCACGTATGTACGTATGTGTACACGACGGCGGCGCGCCGTTAAATTCTAACCGCGAACGATTTCCGGTGACGCGTTTCATCCCCTGGCCATTTGCGATAGTCGGATCTGCGATTGCTCGAGAAAATATTATACTCTCATGTTGAGCCGGGTTTATATGTTTGGAATGTTGTTTCTGTTATCGAGCCGTTTGTTTGAGGCGGTGTTCGAACATTTATAGGAATTTTCTCTTAACGTGCGTTGCGTTCTATAAAATACGTCGGGAGATTTTATTAAGTAATTGATCTCAAATTTTCGTTCGTTGGAGTATTAATGAATAAATTGTAAAATATTTTATATAATATAATAGTTCTTCCTTACACGGTAGTAAAAAAGAGCGTTACTCGTTTCCTACGTACATACTATCATTTCTTACGTATGAAATTCAACAAAACATAATTACTTTTTTTTTCTCAATGAAATTGCGATTCAAGATTAAAATAAGAGACGAATTCTTTGACGTTTTTAAGTATATATGAAAATTCTGAGTAATTTTTTTTATATTTGTTACTCTACAACTTTCCTACATTTGTTACTCTACTGAAAATCTATTTATAAGCTTCTGAAAAGCTTATTCGCTTATTTTTCGTAGTATAACACTATGGAAGTCCTTATTTATAAACGTAAAGGTTGATGAGAAAACCAGCTCGCGTCGTTTAGAGGTTGATTACTGATTTGAAATAATTTCAAGATTGGTTAATTAATCATTGACGGAAATAATTTCAAGATTGATTAATTAATTGTTAACTGGAATAATTTGGTTGATTATCAGTCACTAATTAGTTATAATTACTGGTCACTATTCATTTTAGGTAATCAGTTATGAATCGTTAGTCAATTAATTAGTCAAAATCATTAATATGCAATTGATCTAAAGGCAATTTTAGACTTTATACTGTTTCCACGTCGATTTTTACGTTTAATGGCTTGATGGAAAAGATTTCGATTCAGAAATAATGAAAAAAATCTCGTCGTGAAAAATCTTTCAACAAAGACAACGTGTGATCTGTGAAGAAAATATATTCATCGCAGATTACAAAATTTATGTGTGAATGTGACATCAAATGTTCGAATACCTCAGTTTCATGAGTAATATCTACACAATAGATATTATTTCGTTGTTTTGCTAATTACATAAAAATTCTGTTTCTAGCTCTGTACTTCAAATGTTTTCTATCGAAGTATTTCATTGACTATAAAAGTTTTTCTCGATCTTAGTAAAAAAAATTGTTGATTTAATTAAATCTTACAATGAATTATCCCTTCAAATAATTCGAGGATCATAGGTTTGACTAAAATCTTTAAATAAGGAAATCTTCTGCGTGGACAGCAATTAGGATCACACGCTAAGCCTAATTGCGAGGGCTTAAACCACTTGCATCGAGGTTTTTCGCGTATTACGGGCGCAGCTGGCCCGCAGGAAGCATTCACACTCCAAGAATTCGTGCAAACTCGTCCTAGCGAGGCGGCAAAGCGCTGTTTTGAGGCTGAAATTGCTAAAGGGTTGAATTTCAAAGGCAAGTTTCACGGGCAAATTAACTGGCCGTGCAATTCGAATGACCGCTAAGGGTTTCGTGAAACTTGCGCCATGGGAGATGTTGGATAAGTACACAATTTGAATTTGAAGTTGTGAATTTCTTTCGTTTAATGCCGAATATTATATAGCTGTACTCCTGTTCGCGATTTGCTAACAATAGTTAGATGAACGAAACTTTTGATACTCGAAATGATGTTTCTACGATTCACTATACAATTCTTATATCGCATTTGAACTTAGAATTTGAAAAACTTTTCATTTAATTTAACGTTTTTCTCGAAATAATTATCTGGTGACGATTTATTATTTATTAAGCTTGGACAAATATTATTTGAAACAGATAAGAAAATGAAAAATAAGAAACACATCTCTTTATTTTAGAAATAGCATAGGAATTGTTTTTAAATAATTTATTGATAATGTTCCTTTTACATTTTTTAAACCGTCGGCATTTTCATTAGGATATTTTTTTAATTAGTTAAGTTTCAAGTGGGCCATCGATACTGATAATATTTTAATAAATTTCCAAGTTACGAAATTCTGTTAATTAAAATATTAGAATATTATGGTAGCAAGTATATATTGAAGCAACTTTATTATCCATATTACATCGATATATTATATTTATCCATATGCTGGGTATGTTCATATACTTGTTCCAATGTTATTATCTAATATGCTGCAAGTGTATATATAATATCTCTTTCCTGTGAAAAATGACTTGAACAGATCAAATCGAACATATTCTTTAGTCAAACCGAATACTTCTTAAAAAAAAATAAAAAGACTCAACGCGTGATTCCATTTTTTAAATCAAATCCATTTTAAAATTAAATTTATAGATTTCGATTTAAATTAAATTTCCAATTAACTTTATTACATATAATATAATGATTGATGTGTAGTCAATATATGTATGATCAACGATTAACGTACATATAGTAAATTAAACTTTATTAAACGTTTTCACTCGATGAGAAGAGAAGATTCTAAATCACGGAAAAGAAACGAGACAACATGGATCTCAATAAATCAAAATCTCTAAAGGCAGAATCTTTCTCTCTCTCTCTCTCTCTCTCTCTCTCTCTCTCTCTCTTTCTACAAAAGAACAGAAAGAACTTAAATGTGAAGTAATTTTTCCGGGACGAAAGAAACACTTGAAAATCCTTTATCTCGTTTTTCCGATCCTCTCTACTGGGAAACATTATCTAAAACCTCAAAGACGCAACTGAATTAAATCGTCCCGGTGGCATTATTCGCGGTAAGAGAAGCGGTAATCTGTAAAACATGAATCATCGGGGCTTAAAGCGCGATTACGGTTAAGCCAATAGAATAATCTTCTCAAGAGAAAGAGAGAGAGAGAGAGAGAGAGAGAGAGAGAGAGAGAGAGATAAAAAAGGAAGAAACCATTCATATACGGGGAATCGTGGAAACCACTAGGTAGAAATGATAAGCAAGGACTTCACGTGTGTTTCAACGTCGTTTCGTCGATGTATTGATCGTCTCACATCGGGAGTGGATGATGGCAAGAGTTCAGTTTTTGGAAACTCGAGGATATATCTTAAACCAATATTATTCACTATGTTTACAGTAATATTATTTGTATAATATCGTGATGGGGAAAGAATGAAATTCTTGAAGATGATGAAATTAATCAATATTGGAATAGTGAAGAATATATATTATTGGAATACGGAAAAATATTAAATAGTGAAGAAAGATTTATCTATTCCAGATTTAATGGTATATATTATATAATATAAATAAAATAAATATATTATATATTATATTATATATTATATATATTTATATATATTATATATATAATATAATATTATATTATATATTATATATATTATATAATATAAATAAAATAAATATATTATTATATATCCAGATTTAATAATATATTATTATTTAATAATAATAATATATATTATTTAATAATAATAGTGTATATTATTATTTAATAATATACACTATATATTATGTAATATATTATATAATAATATATATTATGACAGAGAAATAATTCAATTTCTAAAAGTCGATGATAATAATAAAATTCGACAGAAATACGGAATCAACGCAAACATAAACCTGACCTCTCAAAGTGACATACAAAGAGTATTAAAATATCTCAAAAACATAAACTAATCTATGGCACCGTCGTCGCTAATGATCTTGCTGTCGATGCGACATTAAAGAAAAATAGAAGAAGAAAATTCGTGCTGGCAAAAAATAGTAAAATTAATCAACACGTTAATAATCACGTTTCGTTGTCCATCTTTGGAATTCTGTGTCTGTAGAACTAACGCTGTTTCTAGCGATCTGATAATAAAAAAAACGTTTTGGAAATTCTAAAGATTATTTCACTCCTGATTTTCTCCGTGATGGATAGCGGGAAAAGTTTAATTTGATTTTAATCGTTCGGAGTGTCGAAAGAAGATCATTAAAGGGAATTTCCTTCCTTTAAAACTCCACCTTTTCGTGCTTTCGTACGAACGAACCAAACGTGACTACACCAGCTATCTCCAGCTATTAAAGCAGGCCCTGGAAAACGGACATTTGCTTTGAAATTTGCTGATCACGCCGGAAGCATTTCCGACGAAGCTCAAATGCAATTCTCGCGATGTATAATGGCAAATCGTGCCTCTGCACGTGACGCTTATTTACATAGATCTGCAATATTATAATGCACGCCGGGCAAACGATAATTGAACGTGCAAGTAAGTTCTGTACTTAAACACGTTTATTTCAGTTTTTATGCGCCAAAGTATCGTGCTACATTCGTTGTCCCTTTGTAGCTTCGCTCTCAAATTAAGGGAGGCTTTTAACGTGTTTAAAATTCTCCATAATAAAGGAGCAGCTTAAATTGAGAAGTAACATTTACCTGAAAAGATTTTCATTTGATGTTATCTTAGTTTCCAAGCAATGAGGTTTTTTTTGTACATGAATATCTGATTCCTTTGCTTGTTTAATGTTTATTTTATTTCACATTGATAAGATGGCTTTTACGTGGCGTATTTGAAATACTTAAAATTGCTTTTTCTTTTTAAATGAAATCTTTGGTTTAGCAAATTTTCGAGTTATCTTTCTACAGGAAATTTTCGTAAAACGCGATAGAAAGGAATGTGAAAACTCTGCAGAGATAAGAGAAATATGAGGATATATTGGCAATGATGAGAACTTGAAAGTAACCTACTTAAAAAATATCAGAGGAAGAAGTGTTTAAAAATATTACATTACCTAGAAATAGCTTACCAAGAACATGTTGGAAAAATTTCGCAGAATAATTTAATATTTGTCATTAATATTTAATAGTGAAATTTCTGTATTTACCTCTGTAATCAAAATATGCTCTGGAATATCAGATAGTTAGAATTCCTCTATCTTACAATTTTTGCCCCATGCTCGCTACAAGATAGCGACTAATTAACCAAATTTTGCATATCAAAGCTAGGTTAATTTCGAAACGTAGTAGCGTAGAGTAAACTAGAATCAGAGACATATTACAAGTTATGGAAGTGTATAATAATTAAGATATATATACAATATATAAGAATCTAATAACAGCTTCTTTAAAAAAAATTTACAAAATACAGTGAAATTTCTTAATAACATATGACATAAAAATTGCAATAGAAGCTATTCAATTTTAACTACATTCCAAAACTTCACAATCGAAAAAGTAAATTGGACCCAGAGACATATCGTGAATTATAAAATAGTTAAAGTAAAAGTGTGTAATAATAAAGATACACATATAATAATCTGTTAATAACTTTCAAAAAGAGAAACAAAAATTTCTCAATGATATTATAACATATGATATTAGAAATTGCACGAAAGTTAAGATTTAACCACTATATCAAAATCGTATCCAATTCATGTAATTCAGCAATTAGCCATAATAATACATCCTGGCGGAATAAAATATCCGGGAATAAATTCTATTCGTAAAATTATGAATACCAGCCGAAATTCTCGTCGTTCCCGAGCTTCCACATCTTTGTCCTTGGTAACAGTTTTCAACAAGCTACTCATTCTCCTTAGTCGACTACAATTTCCTTTCTTCCTCGCTTTCGTGTCTTCTGCTATTTCTGTCCCTCGTATCCTCTCATATTCATTTTTCCCTCCATCTTATCTTCTCTCTGCGCCGAACTGAAGAAAATAAGATTCGCTCGTTGTAATATTCTTTCGTTCGTTTCCTACATACACGATTTCTTTTTTTTTTTTTTTTTTTAAACTCTGTATATTATATAAAACATATTACCTCGATCGCGGAGACTTATATACGTAGGTTTTTACGCGTATGTGCCACGGGATGGAATATTTATCAGGCTTGATTAAATCCAGGTAAAGATATTGATTTTCCTTCGGAGGCGGAATTTAAAGAATCTTGAAATAACTTCGTGGCGAGAATATTAAGATTGTTGGAACTTCGATTGGATATTCGATTGTCGGAGTGAGGAAAAGGAGAGAATGAAGTTCATTATTAAAGTAATAGAACTTGAATAAAAATTTACGTAGAAATTCGCTGAATATTGTAACGAATATACTCTGCTTGGATATTTTACATTTTTGCATTCTATATGTTTTTACGTTTTATTAAATTTTTTTATTTAATTTTATTTTGGTTCCTTTTTTATAACTTTATTTATATTTCAATACATTTTTAACGTTCCAAAAAATACGCATACTACGAAACAAAAGTTATAAAATTTATCTTTACAACACACGCGTAATGCGATGAAAATAACTTCGTGATTGAAATGTTAAAATTAACGAAGGTTCAATTCGATTCTAAGGTGGTTTTTTGAATTTTTTTCCACCCCTAAATTTTGCAAAACTGCACAAGAATTCGCAATCTAGTCATTATTGTAAAACTACTGGGTAGTAGTAGATTTATCTTTATACTCCTCGCGTAACGAAGGTAGTTTCACGGGAGGAATATTAAAATTAAAGAAGATCGGCGAAGCTAGGAAATTTCGGTTTTAAGACCGGGATTCCGTGAGGGAGGGGAAACTTCCAGGTTCCGAACTGGGAAGAAAGGAAAGAAAAATAGTCGAGCGGGGGATAATGGACCTTAAGCGGGCTCGTGAGTTTTTAATTAACGTCGAATTAATGGGGGACTCGAGAGCGTCAAGCCGAATAATTGGGCATGGTTCGAGCCCCCTTTCGAACAACCTCGTCTTGGGAGATGGTGCGTTTTCGCTGCTTGAGTGTGTAATGGCTGGATCGTAAATGGGAGATAATGAGGATAGTTGCGAGGAACGTGGATGTAAATGTTTCGTAAGAGAGATAATGTGTGATAAAGTCGAGTGAGATAGTTCGGATTAAGGCGAAATTTTCCACTGAAACGTAAGTTTCAAATAGCGTAGTATTTACTGTGTATTGAGACTTGAATAACAACAGCATTACATATAAATGAAATGATTTCTGTTAAATGAAGAATTTATTTTGTGATCACGTCGCTAAATAAAAGACTTTTAATGATAACAGAGATACTTTGAAGATATAACTTTAGACGTCTTTATAACAATTCTCCCTGCACAAATTTCTTGATGATATTATGTTGATATTATACGTCTGAAGTTATATAATATCATATAACAATAATAATTATGATAATTATATTATATAATTTCAGAAACTTATAATTATCATACTGACTTGATGGTTAACTAGCCTTTTCAAAACTACGTAGAACACTACTATTTTTCAAAAAATACGTAGTACTTACGATCAGTATAGTTGCTGAATTTGAAGTGGAACGGGGTTTTCAATAGCCAATTTATTCTTGAAAAACGTATTGAAATTGCGAAGTTTTAAGCGATCGAGTAAAATAATACTTCAAGTGGACCATACGTACTCGCGGAATACGTATTGGAACCACAAAATTTTCTTTCAATGCTGAAATAAAATGGAATTTTCAACAGATTGAATGAAGTGCCTTGTCGAAAGTAGAATGGTATCTCAGTTCGCGTAAAAAGAAAAAAAAAAAAATTACAATGGAATGCATTTTACGAAATAGAAATTGATTAATTCAGTCGGTATTCTGCCACAATTTCTCCACTAATTATAATTGGAGGTTTCGTCTATACTATGATTTAAGTAATAGGATAATGTTTCATGTTCTAGGCGATTCTACGCAACTAGATCTAGATGGATTACTCTACATCGGGGGTGTGGGAGCTCCATTTGCACCCCTAACAGTTCCTCCAGTACTATGGACAGGTGCCTTGAGACAGGGTTATATCGGTTGCATGAGGGATCTTGTCATAAACGGACAACCAATCGATATAGTTGGATATGCCCAACAGCAGGACTCCGGTAAGAAAGTATTACACGTTTTATAACTTTACAAACAAATTGGAACATCGAGTGTTCGTTTCTTTAAAAGTAACTGAGCTCTTCAATCTCCAAGTAATTGGTCTTTATAAAATAAAACTTGCCAAGTATCTCTTAAGTCAGAATAGAATTTGTCGCGTCGGCATATTTATTTTCTAATGGAAGAGATTCTTTGATAGAATTTTAAAGTTAAGGTCTTCCTCCTTAGAAATTACAAACAGTTAAAAGTTACAAATAGTTTTTTTTTTTAATTTTAGAAGTTACGAATAGTAGTCAGTTGTAAATTTTATTCGTTCAGTAATTCAACGCATAACAATTATTAATGTAAGAAAGAAGGATGATACACTACAAAAATGAAGCAGCTACTTTTTATAATATGCCATTTTCATGGAATACGTAAGACACATATGTTTTTATAACAGCGTTCTACTTTATGCAAAATAGCTGTAAAATGTTGACCTAAATTGTGTAGCTTCCTATATCCTATGCATATCCCATGTTTACCATTTTCCTGATCCCATACCATGTAAGGAAACATGTTTACCTCTATGCTAGAATAGTTTTTCATCATACAAAACTAATAAAAATTATATCACTGAAAATGCATCAATTTTAATACTATCACGTGCAAAATAATACGAAGATACAAATATTCAAAAGTATTGATACATCTATTGTACGTACAATGTTTTCTCATAACTTAATATATTCAATTTGCGTACAAAATTATTATAATATATTTATATTTATTTTTATATTAATTTTTAATTAATTTCATTTATAATTATTATAATATATTTTTAAAAGAGAAGAAATACTGAAAGATAATAGTAATGACAATATTAATGGTTGAATGTTTTATTTCTTTTTATTGAAAATACCGTTTCATGTTGTGAAATGTGATTAAATGATTAAAATGTAGAAGATCAGCGTAAAACATGTATTTTTAACAATAAAAAAAAAGTTACGCTGCGGACAGGATTCGAACCTGTGCGGGCATAGCCCATCAGATTTCGAGTCTGACTCCTTAACCACTCGGACACCACAGCTTCGATGAATGTAATCTTCTCGTTGGTATTTAACTGCTTCTTTAATACATTTAGCAATTTTATTTTTCATATAAACATTATTATTCATACATTTTTCCATTTCAAAACTTAATAATTAAAAATTGTATTTCGAGAATAATTTCAAACTGAGAAATTTTCAATCTGCCAAATGTTAAAATATCTTTAAACAAGTACTCGTGCATATATCTAAAAAAAAAATTACTTACTAATTAGTATGTAATGAAAAGTAAAGTAATTTACTAAAGTAATTTTAATAAAAGATTTTCAATACAAACTTCAATTCGTGATTTGAACATTTCAATTGAAACATAATAATCCTTACACTTTGTTTAATTCAAGTCTCATTCTACTTGTCCTACTTATCCAGCTCACTCTACTTATTCACTTAGAAATAATTCAATTATTCAACAATATTTTCATCACTTTACAATCTACTTTTACTTACTTAAATATTACGTACTGACTGTTAAAAAATGAAGCGATAATTCTGCCGCCCTTGAGTTTAATTTTCTGGCAAAAGTGTCGTATTTCATAGGACGAAAAAGCTGAACTGAAAGCGATTGTCACTGTCTCCGTAATTTCGTTTCTCTGGACAATTTTGCAGGCGCTGTCAGGCCAGCTTGTCATTCTCAAACACCCCACTGTCCTTCACAACCCTGCATGCATGGAAGCCAGTGTATCGAAGGTTGGAACAGGTTTCATTGTGACTGTACTGGAACACCATTCACCGGCCCTACTTGTGGAAAAGGTAAAGAATTTTCTTAAAATGTCACCTCGAGTAGATATGCCACGTTTCATAACTATAGACATGGATGTTCATGCAAGTATTCCTACGAATGTAACGAAATGGAAATTTTTGAAGTTTTATCTACTAAATATTTCAACGATTGATCTGTCTCGAATTTTTTTTATATACTTTTTATGACATGCACTCGACAGAATTGTTTAACTTTAAATTTCCAAAACTACAAAATTTCCCAAAAATGCATAAACACTCACGCAGCTTGTTGATAACTAGAAAATAGATAATATGTAAAACGATGCTTAAATTTATTAATACGTTTCGTGATTGTGTTTCTGATGAAAATTTTAAGTTGGTCGATAGAGTTTTAATCACGATATGTAAATTGTCAGGGCACGGGAGAGAATAGGGTAATATAATGCATTGTGATGTAATATTATTACTAGAGTAACGGTGGCACATTTAAACAGTTTTATGCTCGATGTGTCAATTGCTTTAATTTCGTATCCCGTGTCGTGTCACATCAACAATGAAGATCATTTTAATATTATTGTTTTAATGATACGATATTATTCGCACACGTACGACAAATAATTCTATTTCTACTTGTATTTAGATGCGTCAACGTTACATCTGAACGGAACGCAGCAAATGACAGCGCTGATGCCAGAGGATTCGAAAACCCAGACCGAGGAGATAGTAGTTCGCTTCAAAACGACCAGACCTCGTGGCCTTCTTCTGGCTACGAGTTTAGAGAACAGTTCGGATCGATTGCAAATCTATCTGGAAGAAGGCAAAGCAAAGATGCTGATCCACATCGGGGACAAGGAGAAGGTGAGTCGATTCGGTTCGAATTTTTTTAAATTTCCTTCGTAATTGAAAGGCTTACAACGATGAGGAGATAATCCAACATTTCAATTGTGTTTATTGCAAAAGATTACATGGGAAAAGTATGACGAGGTCTCACTTCTCTTGATTTTTAAAATTTTATGCTATTTGATAATTCGGAAAGGTTCTTTAAAATAAAATCAATTAATTGTGAATATAGAAACGATACATTCATGAAGTTTTATAAAAAATCCGAAGTGAGTAATTTATTTTTAACTGAAGTTATATTTTGTATTGCATTTGATAAAAATGATAGGCAATTTTCATTTACAATTAAAATAGTGTAAAGTAGAAAATCAGAACAAATACTCGAAACCTGGACGTCAAGTTTTTCTCTATTATCTTTATTCGAAAAATTTGTAACAATGTTCAAAAATGATTTTGAATTAATATTTACTGATTCACTGAAATTACTGTGGTCGTCTCCTTATTGTAACAAACGAACGTTACCACCAAATTCGGCTCTTGAATCGTAAAACGAAATTACAAAAGGGCTGAACAAAATGGAACACGGAGGTAAATTTCCTTCTTTTTTTTTTCGACTTTCACGAGCTTCGTACTTATAAAGTTTTTAGCTAATAACGTTACTCCGACACTGGTTTCTCCGGTGTTCTCTAGCCGGTCTCATTAGAGATCTGAGAATATCGTAATACTGCTGTGGTCGGTACATGGAAATAACAAAGTAGAACACCGTAAAAGAATATTTCGTTACGCGAAGCCTTTTGCCCTTTTTCGCGGGGAGTTTACTTGTTTCTCTGACCGCAATGCTACCAACAGCGTAATATTCATAGAAGAAGCTGTTGAGATGTGCCGGTCTAAAACCGAAAAGTCTTTCAACGTGCTCCGACTGTATAATTACGGAAAATTTGAAGACTTTTCTTAATTGATTTGATCGTGATTGGACGAAGTAAAAATTAAAGGACATCTGTTGTTGCCAATTTTGAACAATGTAGAATGTTACGCCAGCAAAGTACATTTGCTTATTTTTAATAGGGTACAATTTGATTTTGTTTTACTTATTATTAATTACTAATGACAGTATATTGAATTTAAATAATGAAAATATATAGAGTTTTGAGCATTCTACATTCTCAATTATTTTCGTCAGTACGTATTTCTCATATTTTATTATTAACATGTGATACGATAAAATTTCCTAATAATTAAGAAGTAAATTGATATATACTCGTCGAATTTTGCAATATACCGATCCACCAACGATCTCGGGAATCGCAAGCTCGCGCCAAACATTTGAGACGTAACAGTGAGATTGGAATATTACGCGGTTTCAAGTGGTTTGCAAGGCTGTAAAATCTTGCGTGAAAATTATTCGTCTGCATTCTTAGTATATAGGAAAGTGTGAAGAAGCATTGGCTGCAGTGCAGTGAGTAAATTGAAATCCACGGGCTCCGTGGAATGCGATAACGCATGAAAATTCGAACGAGCTTGCTCATCCCGAGCACGATCATAATTCATCGATTCATTCGGCCCGTTTTTCCACGACAGAATAAATTGACTGTAAAAATTCAAATCGAACGAAAATAGACGCGGCCGATAGAGTGACGTCTATTCATAATTCATGGCTCGCCCGAAGGTTCAAGTTCTTTGGCGAAGAAGGTACTGCTGTAAGAGAGAAAGACGCTGGATATTGACTCGGTGCATTTAATATTTCATCGTGAAATAATAGTTCAGTATCTGTTTGAGCCAAACCTTTGTCGAATTTTTTCTGTTTTACAGATAATAAAAAATGGTCTGTGTTTCGGCTTTGAATAAAACGAGAGTTAATTTGGTTCTAAATCGAAATTTATTCAATAAAATTTGAAATCTATTAAATGAGTAAATTAACACCCTTAATAAATAAATTTAAATATAAATCTCATAAATAAATTTAACATTTAATAAATAATCTCAATAAATAAATTTAACATTTAATAAATAATCTCAATAAATAAATTTAACACATTTTTAAATGTAACATTTAAATTCAATAAATTTGTCTGAAATAATAATATTTCGTGATTTAACATACAGTAGTTCTTCTTTGCATATCTGCATTTACATTTTTGAAGAAATCATTAATTCTTTAAAACATTACGTATGTATATTCTGGAAAATTTCTATATATGTATATACAAAATTCCGCAGTCTGAATAAAATATCCATTTACTTAAAGAAATCGTTACTTCTTTTGAAATCTTAAGAAATTCTTGCGCAGGAGTGTACATTTTATACAATTTTAAACATTTCGTCCCTGCAATGATCTTTAAATTTCAAGAAGTGCATAAAAATCCGCAGTGTGATTATGAATCGTTCGATTGTAAATTGACATCGGTAAGAAATCCGAGAGCATGAAACTGTGTGAAAGCAAACGCGCAAAGATATCGTCGTAACCGCGGTGTGTACTATACGTCTTCGTATATTCTGACATTTATGCCTCCGCGATACTGCAACGAGGATGCAGTTTCCGTCGGCGGAAAGTCGAAACGCTCAGGCTTCGTTATTTAATCAGTGCAGCTACTTGCTCGCTTCATTTTACCCGGATCCAATGTGCGCTCCGTGTCGCATCCAAACGCTTCGCTTTTCTGCAAACTGGAACCACGAATACGAGCAGCTTACGTTCGTTGAAACAACATTGTACATATAACGGAGAACGGTGCGTGCTCTCGCAAGTTGCGAGTGAGTTGCACCAAATCGCAATGCTTTTCAAATTTTGAATTTAGTCGAAAGCCAGCTGGACACGTTTTTTCGAGCATTGTCCCAAGAATGAAATTAAAATGCACAGCGCCGCGACGCCGAAAGTTTGTCTCTCTTTTTAGAAACTGGGCAGGTGGCTTTGCCAAGGGGGCAAATTTTGTTTAAAATAAAAATAAGAAGGCATGTTTCGTTGAATATTAACGTAACTAACTAAAAAGTAACTATTTTATGGTAATGTCGGATAGGTAAATTTGAAAATAATTATTTTATGTTATTTGAAAATTTCATGTTAACGTTTGAATATTTTAATTTATTTATCGGTTTAATTATTCTTCTTAAGATTCATCTAACGTCGAGAAGTTTAGAAAATATTGTCTGTGTGGGATATTATTTCACGATAACCTTTGTTATGATTCTCATCGTCATCGTTATTTTCTCTTTTCCTTATGACTTCATCTGTTATTTTAACGCGCAATTTCATTTGTTATTTCATCACTTACTCGTCTCTCTGTTGCACGTTTCTATACATCGTAATAGTTTGTGTAGATTATTTTATGAAATAGTACGTGCAAAACTTGCAACAACCGTCCCAGTCGAATGAAATTAAAATCAAATGGAATTAAATAAATAATCCAAATGTTGATATTTTAAAACTAAAGTAATATATAATGGCGAACAGCATTTGATTCTAGTAATGTTTCAAAAATGCAAGATGAACTTTTAATTGGAAAACTCTAATAAAATTCTGCAAAATACGATCATGCCCGGATTCTATCTGATATAATTACAATCGGTAAAAGTAATTATACAATTTCTCAGAGTGAATTTCTCCCTAATTGAACCTGGAAATATATTTCGAAATCGAAGCGAATAATTTCCAATTTAATTCGACCAATTAATTTCCAATGTAGTCGAAATGCGTTCAGTTCAAACGTATGTGCTTTATAATTTGAAATATATTCGATGCGGCTACGTGCTGAAATGTTTCGTGTTATAGTAATGAGTAACTGATATTTATAGTGAAGTGCTTTTTTCTTTGTAAAACTTTAAAAATTGGCAGTTCCCTTTCTCCAAATAATTTATAATTAAATCAAATTAAAATTTTTCATGTAAATTTTCACCCAGAACACAGTACAAAAATTTTTAAAAGCCGATTCGCTAAAATTATGAATTAACACGGCTTTTACAATCTTTCGACTTAAATTTCATTGAAATTTGTGATTAATAAGGAAACTTGGTGAAATTTAAATTTAAATAGAGTAACTGTAAATGCAATCAAAGACATAATAACGAACATCAAAATTGGTCCGTAGTGTGTTATTTGTTTCTTTGCAATTTCAAAAATTAATTTTTGGCGAGTGGAAGACGACATATCTTAATTAAAACTTGATTTAATTGTCAAACTTTGAACGAATCTTTTTTTGGATATTATATTAAATGTTTTCGATGTCGTTAACAAACAGATTCATCGGTGAAAATTATGCCCGAAATACAGTTACGGGGGCTCACACCTCTATTTCGGATGGAAACTAGTTGAACCTCTAGAATACAATCGCGTACGATTAGAGGAGGCTGTAATTTACGTTTATGTTTCAATCTCGGCCTTTACACGGTCTCGATAATTGAACGGAATAATTGATGCAGTAATGAACATTTCAATTAACCTGGACAAAATCCTTCGGCACATTCTAAAAAAAATTTGCACGCTTCACTTTGTGGTTAATGAAGAAAAGCGAACTAGAAAATTGATTTAACAATTGAAGATTACAAAAGGAAAACCATTTTACATAGAAACATAGATTTTTAAATGAAAATTGTTAACTAATACGATAATCTGTTTCACAAGATTAACAAAATTTTTTCTTTAATCTTGGTCACTAAAAACTGTAACAAATTAAACAATAAAATACTTCTGTTGTATAAATCAAACAAACTTGAGAAAATATATACGAGAGTTTTAACTGTCTAGAAAAGTTAAAAAATTAATGAGTGTATATCTTGAACAAAATATTTCAGAAAAATGTTGATCGTCATCACACGAGTTATATTTATACAAAACTATATACATTAGTTCTAGATCTATTTCTTTCAAATGTGTCAAGACAATTTTTTGTTCGTTAAATGTCAATTATTTTCGAGAGATATCAGTGTATTAATGTTCACAATGGAAACTCGACAGATGATGCTTGCGGTAAATCTTATCAATTCAATAAATGACGTTATACTTGAACTGTATTCAGATACATATGTAC